CAAAGTGTTTCCTAGTTTTCTTAGTTTTTCTAGGTTCCATGTTTTTCACGTGCCATCATCCAAATAAAAGATTGCTTTTTGTTAAAACCTGCAAATCTTCTTCAAACTCTGCTTCTAGGTCCGTTCAACAAAACACACTGGCGTACCTTGCTGTGATGTGATAGTTCAGCTTTTTAATTCACTGAAAAGAGACCTTAGACTGGGTGTCTTTCTTTTTTGTTATAATTTTTTAAGAGTTCGAAATGTATTCCTTACATAAATAAAATTTAATTTTCTCTATAGCACTTCATGGATTTCACAAGCAACACACTATAGTTGTTTATACAAAGCATAAAGGTAAAAAAAACAATGTATAGAGTGTTATCTTCATGTTAGATGTCAACACAGTATTTGCGGCTCCCTGTGTTTTCTTTTCCGTGGAAACCAGATCCAAATGACTCTGTGGGTGTTCAAAGTTGCTGACCCCTCGTCTAGAATAATTATAAAAATACAGAATTTAAAAAAAATAAATAAATAAAAGTGGGAACAGTCTTTATATAATCTTTATTAGTAATTTAGTCCCGATTTGTCTCTAATATTTCTGCATAAGATCTATTGTTTTATTCTGGCTCTTTACAATTTTTTGTTATATTGTGCATTAAAATAAATCATTATGATAGTCCTACTTTGTCAGGCTATATTTCCCTAAGAGGACCTTCACATAAAAGGCAAGAACAGCAATGCTGCACCCCGAACCCAGGAAGTATCTCACACAACACGCACGATTGAAAGGCCCTATTGATAATGTGCAAAAACTACAACATTACATTACATGCTGCACTCCAGTGTGACTTTCACATCAAGACAGGGACACAGATAAACACAAATCCTGTATAAAAAGTACAAATATGAGAAATATGAACATTATAAAAAGAAAATCAACACTAACCACAGCACAGCGCTTAAGTGTAAAATGCTTTAATGTATTCACATCTATAAAATAGAGCCAAAATTATAACCCAGGCTGTTTATGAAAAGGTGACACTATTTGTTTTTTAGCAGGTATGAGAGACTGAAGAAGGGTTAATTAGAGTTTTGAGGGTTTGACCTCAAAAAATTGAACTAACAGGAAGAGAAAAAAAAAACGGAGGTTTTCATGTGACTGGAAGTACAAGGCTGTGCTGTCTATGTGGTCATTATGTTTAGAAACAGGAAGTGTAATTGATGTGATTCACACTGAAAGACGGAAGAGGAGGGATGTTATGTGATCACCAGATTTTTTTTTATTATTTAATGAACTAAAGCGAAAAGACACACGTTACAGTGGATGATGTTTTGCTTTTTGAGAGGACCACTTTGGTGATCACATCTTCTAAGATAAAAAGTGCTGTGGGGCGACTGTTGTTGTGATTTGGCGCTATATATATAATACTGAATTGAATTGAATTTCCTATATAATTCATGACCTATTTCAATGGTTTCATTTCTCTATACAATCAAAAATAGTTAAACACTGTTAGACTAGCCTGTGAGGATTTAGCACACACACACAAATGATAGCTGATAGCATCACACAGTTGCTGAAGATTTGTCTGCTCCACACAAAGAATGACAATGTCCTGTTCCTGTACGTCTCACAGCTGCTCTAAAGGACTGAGGTCCTGAATTTGGAGACCTGTGGATTTAAACAGTTTAAAGTCAGCGCTGCAGATATTTACAGATATATGTGGATGTGGACTCTTGGAGTCAATTCATATAATTCTTTTAATAGGAAGAGCCACATAAAAGGCATATATTAAGTCAAAAGAAAAAAAGTTACCA